TATATATATATATTTGGTTGGATATATATATATATATATATATATATATTTAGTTGGATATATATATATATATATATATATATATTTGAATATATATATATATATATATATATATATTTATATTGGATATATATATATATATATATATATATATATATATATATTTGGTTATATATATATATATATATATATATATATATATATATATATATATATATATATATATATATATATATATATATATATATATATAGTTATATATATATATATATATATATATATATATATATATATATATATATATATATATATATATATATTTGGTTGGATATATATATATATATATATATATATTTGTTAATTTTTATATGATTACCTCTTTTGTTTATAAAATTTATATTTGAATATATATTTTATAAAATCCAAAGAGTTGTTTCATAAGACGGATGAGTTCAGCAGTAAATAAATTATTATTATAGTTGGATATATAAAATTTATTTATATCTCTATTGGGTCATATATTATTTATATATATTAAATTAAGACGGATGAAACAGTAAATTAGATGTGAAAAATAATATCATCTAAATGTCTGCCAAATGTGAAAAAAAAAAAACTATCATTAGACACTTAAACTTAATTTACATTGAAAATCATTCCAAGTTATTGGAACATGCTTTAAAAGCAATAAGATGATTTGTCCTGTTACTTTTTCAAAGACATTATTCTGAGAGGAATGTGACAACATGTGTGTCAATGGAATGTACCCACTTTATTTTTTTTAAATTCACTAACTGATGATAACATTTATTTTACTGAGTAACATCCTGTGAAGAAATTCCTTTGCAGTGTTATTAACAAATTATTAACTTGCTTTCATGATGACTGTCAGGTCAACAATGAATCTCAGCAAAAGTGACTGACTGTAGTTTGAGATCTGCCCGACCCTATAACGAGAGTTTGAGAACATTTCACTGGAATAATATTTGAAAGAATCTTTATCAATTTTAAGTTCAGTTTCTTAATTTTTTTTTTTTTTTTTTTTTTAATTCAATAATTTCCGGAAAAGTGAAATTGACTCCACATTCTTCTGACATCACCAGATTCCTGTTTGTAAATGTCCTCAATTCCTTCAGACTGACGTTGGCAATTTTTATTGGTACTGTATGATAGTCCTAAGAGAACATGCTGCTGACTTGTATATGTATTCATCAGTACTTGTTTTTTTTTTGGATTTTTTTGTTTTTTTTTTGTTTTTGTTTTTTTTGTTTTTCTTTAGGGAATTTTTTTTTTTTTTTTTTTTTTTTTAAACTCAGTCCAGACTGAGTGGAACTCCTACATATGATCTATTGCTAAAGATACTGGAAAAATGGTCTGTTTCCTGTACTGATTCAATAAGTACTTGACTCCTGCTTTCCTCCATCCTTACAAGAGCCAGTTCAGGCCCAAAATTGAGTACTACCACCATATATTTCTGGTTTATGTTGGTGAATGAATAGATTTTTTTTGGCAAGTGATAAGTCTATCATTAAAGGCAGTATTTAACAAGTGAAAGTGATATTTGGGTGAGTTGACTTATCAGTGGTCTTCATATCTGGTGCTGTTCAAATCCATGTTTTCTTTTTGCAAGAGGCCAGCTGACAACAGAAAAGGCTCCAAATTTCCTACCAGTGGGATGGTTTCTTTTGTTCTATGTAATCAAATTATTTTGATATTTTTATTTCACGTGATCACAAGATGGCTACAGGCCTATTGAAGTATGATGGATTGACTAAGTATTGATGAACTTAACTGATACTGTATGATAATTTGTTTTACAGTACCAGTTGTAATAATTGTGTTTTTCGATTAAATATTATTGTGAAGTCAGGCTTGATAGAAGTAACCATCTGAAGCAAAAATTATATCCTCTAGTAGTAGCAATACAAGGTGCAAGGGTCACTCAAGATCAACTTACTGAATGAGGTTGTATGGAAATAAGAGGAAGTGCAGATTATGAATATACAGATATCAATTGACACTTGAAGAGGTTAAGATTATTGTGATCAGGAAAGCACCCTCTCAGGAGTCTTTTCCACAGAATAGAGGTTCTGGGTGAGAAGCTGTACAAATAGAATTTCCTTCTTACCAGTGGAATATGAAGGGAATGAAAATGGTCTTTAGCAATGGATTGTATATATGGTGGGCTAGTCCCAAGAGTCTTGCAAAGCAAGGAACCTCATTAAATGTACAAATACTCATGACATGAGAGATTTTGGTCTGCTTGGTGATTATGAAACATTAAAAGTTCGTTTTTGGAAGTAGTGTATATTATGAGTCAGTTTTTTCCTTATTTGAAATGTGTGCGCTCAGTGAGAGCAGTGGTCAGTTGCCAGGATCGCCTCATATAGATTTTGCGAGGTGTACTCATAGTGCCTTTATATGGTATCAAATATGTTAAATACTGCAACTATTACCTCAACAACAACCATAATAACAATTATAATAATAACAACAACGCCCATAATAACAATAACAGTAATAACAACAAACAACAATGATGATGATAACAACCATGATAACAGTAATAACAACAACAATGATGATGATGATGACGACAACCACCATAATAACAATAACAGTAATAACAACAATGATGATGATGATGACGACAACCACCATAATAACAATAATAGTAATAATAACAACAATGATGATGATGATGACGACAACCACCATAATAACAATAACAGTAATAACAACAACAATGATGATGATGATGGCGACAACCACCATAATAACAATAATAGTAATAACAACAACAATGATAATAATAAAAACAACAGTAATAATAAAATAATAAATAATTTTTTTTTTTTTTTTTTTTTTTTTTATTACTGTTAATCAATTCACTCCAAGTGAGGGATAAACCCCTACGCTTTTTCTTCTCTAAAAGACCAGGGAAGTAGATTATGCTGATGAATATAATTTTTGCTTATAAATTGAAACTAGCCTTCTCCAACATTAATGCAATTGTCCTGGGACCATAATTTTTAACTAGTACACTCTCCCCCTTTTTTTTTTCCCCCACCTAATATGTGTGTGCGTCTCTGTTAATTTAGATTAACTGCTTATTATTTTTTTTTTTTTTTTTTTTTTTTTTTGTTTTTTTTCTTTTCACTCAGAAGTCATTTGGAGACTGCTTTTTAAAAGCAGTTTTTTCCTTGACTTGCAATGCTATTTATGTCTAGGAATTCAATTTGGTTTGTTTTTTGAGAAAGAAGGTCAGGAATTCTTAGATCTGTACTTTCCATATATTTTGTCTTTCTTTCTTTTTTATTTATTTTTTAGTCTATTTGGGATACATGAGGAAACAATGACTGATGCGGCTGTTGCAGTCATTCAACTAACACCTGTCTCTTTTCTATTTCCACTCTCCTACTTTCCTTCTCAAACATCAGTTAGTCTTCAAAGATTTCTTCTCTGCAAATATTTTTACTTTTGCTTCTACTGTAGGAGGTGCAAGTGATCTAACAGTTAATAGTACAAGGAATGGAATTGGCAAATAGAATTCAGTCTTTGGAAAAGGTATGAATCCATTTCTCCCTCCAGTTATAAGTAAATGGTAGTCATTGGCACCTGGCTTTGTAAAAAAAATTAAAAAAATAATTAAATAAATCACTTGCTTATGAGCTTATGAAACCACAGTAGTAGAATCACTTTGTGCAGTCGTATGTGTCACAAACACTTCCTTCATCTGTGATGAACGTGCTTTTTCCCCCACTCACTCCCCAAAGTAGGATTTGGGACAACAGAAAATCTTTTCCATTCTATCAAAGAATAGATCAATACTGAAGTAGAAAGAAAAGCAGTTTTGGTTCAGTCCCACCTCCTAACACATGCAAAAACAAACACATACCGATGTTTGCTAATGTTCAAATAATGATAAAGGCACCAGTTGCTATTTGATCACAATAGTTAAGCAACATTAGTCAGTATTTAGATGGATAACTGCTTGGAAGAAGATACTCAAGATGGAGATGTGGTTCTACAGAAGGATGTAAGGATATCATGGACCAAGTGTGTGAGCAATGACGAGGTCTTAGAGAGGTTGCAAACAAGGAGGAGGCTTATACTTAACATCAGGAAGAAGCAGCTGAAGTTTTTGGGATACATAATGAAAAAAAGGGCCTGGAGAATCTGATACATGTCGAATAGAGGGAAAGAGACAGGAAAACAATGCGTAACATACCTGGCAGGCTTAAGCAAGTGGATGACAGAGCGTGGTCTGGGGGAGGGAGGGAACTTGTTGAGAGCTACAAGGGATAGAGAGAGGTGGAGAGCCATGATCACCTAACGTCTTGAAAAGACATGGCACATAAAAAGAAAGAACTGCTTGGAAACATTTTATAATGTAAGCAGTGGTAGGGTTTGTATCATTGCGATTTGATTTGAACATTAACAACTCTACCTGTTTCTAACTATATTAGACTACTTCATTGATTTTGCAGGTTGTTTTAAAGTTGGAAAATCATTTTTTAGATTGTTTTTGTCAATAATTTACTGATAAATGTTTTTACAAATGCTACTAATTAACCCATAGCAGGAGGGAGAAGAGGTGGATTCATACCTTTCCCCAGGTTATTTATGCTTAAGTGAATATAACGAACCCAACTGGAATTGTAACTCGGCTCTACGATTTACAATTCTGAGCCTTTATCCATTACACTACCTACAGCTCCAAGTTTACAGCCCCTGGTATTTCCAAATTGTCACCCATCTAGGTACTGACTACGCTCAATGTTGGTTAACTTTGATCTCAGGATAACCAGTGTTTAATGTTATGGCCATAAGCCATCAGACTACTCAAATTGTACGCAGCCCAGACAGTCACCAATTTTCTTGTGTTTTAAAAAAAAAAAAAAAAATTCAACAACATCACTTACTCACTTTCATTTATTAGACGGTGAATTGTGTCACTTGGCATCCTCCATAGCTTTCCTGACTTTTCAGCTAACCTGATGAGTCTTTTTAAATTTCTTCTTTTTTCTACTTCATTCGTCTCTTTTTTTTCTACTTCTTTTGTTACTTCTACTTCTTTTGTTACTTCTACTTCTTTTGTTACTTCTACTTCTTTTTCGACTTCTTTTGTTACTTTTTTCGACTTCTTTTGTTACTTTTTTCGACTTCTTTTGTTACTTTTTCGACTTCTTTTGTTACTTTTTCGACTTCTTTTGTTACTTTTTTTCGACTTCTTTTGTTACTTTTTTTCGACTTCTTTTGTTACTTTTTTCGACTTCTTCTGCCTCTTCTTTTTTCGACTTCTTCTGCCTCTTCTTTTTTCGACTTCTTCTGCCTCTTCTTTTTTCGACTTCTTCTGCCTCTTCTTTTTTCGACTTCTTCTGCCTCTTCTTTTTTCTTCTTCTGCCTCTTCTTTTTTCGACTTCTTCTGCCTCTTCTTTTTCGACTTCTTCTGCCTCTTCTTTTTCGACTTCTTCTGCCTCTTCTTTTTTCGACTTCTTCTGCCTCTTCTTTTTTCGACTTCTTCTGCCTCTTCTTTTTTCGACTTCTTCTGCCTCTTCTTTTTTCGACTTCTTCTGCCTCTTCTTTTTTCGACTTCTTCTGCCTCTTCTTTTTTCGACTTCTTCTGCCTCTTCTTTTTCGACTTCTTCTGCCTCTTCTTTTTCGACTTCTTCTGCCTCTTCTTTTTCGACTTCTTCTGCCTCTTCTTTTTTCGACTTCTTCTGCCTCTTCTTTTTTCGACTTCTTCTGCCTCTTCTTTTTTCGACTTCTTCTGCCTCTTCTTTTTTCGACTTCTTCTGCCTCTTCTTTTTTCGACTTCTTCTGCCTCTTCTTTTTTCGACTTCTTCTGCCTCTTCTTTTTTCGACTTCTTCTGCCTCTTCTTTTTTCGACTTCTTCTGCCTCTTCTTTTTTCGACTTCTTCTGCCTCTTCTTTTTTCGACTTCTTTCGTCTCTTCTTTTTTCGACTTCTTTCGTCTCTTCTTTTTTCGACTTCTTTCGTCTCTTCTTTTTTCAACTTCTTTCGTCTCTTCTTTTTTCAACTTCTTTCGTCTCTTCTTTTTTCAACTTCTTTCGTCTCTTCTTTTTTCAACTTCTTTCGTCTCTTCTTTTTTCAACTTCTTTCGTCTCTTCTTTTTTCAACTTCTTTTTACATAAAAAAATTTCAGTTTGACTTTTTAAATGACATCTACTTTAGTAACTTGAAATCTGTTCCATCAAATCTGAGAACACCAGAATTAGACAAAACCAGTTTTGTAAATATACGCATAACAATCCTTGAAAATTAATGTAGCAGAATTTGAATGTACTCATAAAATAATATAAAATATAAAAAAAATATTTTGCCTGATGAGTAAGTTGAGTCTGAATCATTTAGTCTCTTGAGTTTTTATATAACTGCCCCTACTTAGCTTCTCATTTGACTTCTCACAAATTTATAATTGACCTACTAAGGGTCAGTTTCTCAGTAACTTATTTTAATTCAAATTATTTACCTAAGTGTCAACTGCAATAATAATGTTGGCAAGAAGTTAAGAAAAAGTTTCAAAGAAATAATCCCGAGTTTCACTGCCCAAGCTCTGGAGAGATGAACAATTCCAATTTCAAACCAAATCTCTCTATTTGTGAATCAATTTTTTTAAAAGTTTTTTTTTTTTATTATATTACTGCCTATTATTTCTCCCCTTTATAATTTCCAGACAAATATTAACTTTATAAATTCTTTTAATCCTGAATCCTTGTTGTCATAAACCAAATAATTTTCAGTTTTCATATTTTTTTTTTTTTTTTTTTTCAAATATGAAGTGACATTATCTTTTGTTTTCTTTAGTAATAATGACCTTATCCTGCATACCATTTGATAAAATATGCAGTTGATAACAAAATGAATATTTCATTTTTCTGATAAGAATGACATCATTGCTTGAGAAATCTCAAAATAAACTATTTACACTATTTACATTGTTCAGATTGTTGCTCTCATCTTTGTCATATTGACAATGTTTTAACCATCTTCAGGTGATTTAAATTGGAATTTCGAACCAAACCCTTTATTCAATCCACTGAGGTAGATTGTTGTATCTGTCTATATTTCTGAGATGAGGTATTATGTACACTATTTACATTATTCGGACTATTGTCCTCATCTTTATCGTCATATTTATTACAACGTTTCGGCTGTTGTATGCTCCGGCCTTCTTCAGTATCTGTCTATATTTCTGAGATGAGGTATTATGTACACTATTTACATTATTCGAACTATTGTCCTCATCTTTGTCGTCATATATTTATTACAAACTATTGTCCTCATCTTTGTGAGTACACTATTTACATTATTTATTGTCCTCATCTTTTGTCGTCATATTTTGTTTCGGCTGTTGTATGCTCCGGCCTTCTTCAGTATCTGTCTATATTTCTGAGATGAGGTATTATGTACACTATTTACATTATTCGAACTATTGTCCTCATCTTTGTCATCATATTTATTACAACATTTCGGCTGTTGTACGCTCCGGCTTTCTTCAGGTGGTTGGAACGTCGAACTAAACCTTTTGTTTTGCTCGCTGAGGTAGACAGTTCTACTTCCACATGCCATATTTAATGGATGTCCATTATCAGTTATCTCCTATCCTAACTAAGCCAAAATGAATTAATGATTTATCAACTGTATGCACGACTGCTTCAAAGATGGGCTTCCTCAATTCCCCCCCTGGTGTGAGTCAAGACAGAAAAACAAATGAGCTTTTTTTTTTTTTTTTTGTCATTTCTTCAGCGGATCTTTTCTATGTTTGACTCTCAGATTATCTATAGAGACACGTTTTTTTACACTATTTCCATTATTCGGACTATTATCCTCATATTTGTTGCCATATGTACGTTTCAACCGTTGTACGCTCCAACCTTGTTGGAATGTCAAACTGAACCCTTTATTTCACTCGCTGGGGTAGACTATTCCAGTTCCATGTGCCATGTCTAATGGATGTCAGTTATCAGTTATCCCCTGTTAATTCCCCTCTCCAAGTTCTCCACTGCCTTAACCAGATATTGAACTCACACTCTTTGGGTCCTGTTACTGGATCTAACCAACGCCTTTATCTACTGTGCCATGTATCCTTAAGGAAGAAGGCCGGAGCGTACAACGGCCAAAACGTTGTAATAAAGATGGCAACAAAGATGAGGACAATAGTCCGAATAATGAAAATAGTATAGATTGTTGTAGTTCTACATGCCATGCGTTTTCTGGGTGTCTCAGTTTAAGTTAATTAGTAACTCAAATCTTTTCAAGTAATTTTTCCGCACCTCTGCTCTGGCCAGGTATTGAACTCACAACTTGTTTGCTAAAGTCACTGGGTTACTTCAACTAATGCTTTTGTCCACTTGGAGACAAAAAAAAAATTTTCTAAAACTGAAATAATGATGATCTGGAATTGGAATGAAAGCAGTGATGGCACCTAACCTGAATCTATCAAAAGAAATTCAGAATGTGGTATTAGTTTCATACTAAATACTTCAAATACCTCGGTGTCTGCATCTGTTATCACAAATTTTATAATAGCAATAAGGAGATGATAAACAGAATAAGCCGAGAATATCAGGAATTGGCTAGCCACACTAGCAGATAGGTGTGTCAAGAAAAAGTATTCAGCCATTTTTTTTAATATTATTTATTATAATTTATTTTCTATTTTATTATATTTTATTATAACACTCCATATGCTGTTAGTGTGGGGAAGAAACAATGAATGCTAAGCTATTTTTATTTATTTATTTTTTTTTTTCATTCATTTCACCCCCAAGCACAAGGTGATAAAGTCACTAAGGTGCATGGGTTACTGGGGATGAAAGAAATTGAGAAAACTTTGAGAAGGAACCAGAAACCCAATCTTAAGCAACAAACAAGGGATAAACCTCTACCCTTGTTCAAAAGATGGGGAAAGAGTGTGAACTGGGCAGAATATATCAACTCTCTCTCTCTCCTATATGGCAGTGAATGCTAGACATTCTCCTCCCAAAGGAAGACTAAGAAACAAAGCTGTTGTTCTACAGAAGGATACTGAGAGTATCATGACATAAAAGTGTCAGCAGCAAAGAAGTCTTAATTGAAACAAGATGAACACCTCTATTCAAAATCCGAAAGAGAGGACGATTTCTTGGACACAAAATGAAGGATGACTTGGAGAATTTATGACTCACAGAGCATGCTGAAGAAAAAATAGAGGAAGACAGTGGGCTACCTACTTGATGAGCTTGTAAGAATAGATGGTGGGGTGGGGCATAGTAAAAAGATATTACTAAGATTTACAGAAGATAGGAAGTTGTAGAGAGCCACAATCACCTACATTCTTAAGAGACGTGGCACATAGAAGAGTACAGTAGGTAGCCTACCATAGCACAGTCAATGGCAAACATGTTGCATCCATCAAGTGATTAAAGTTGTAAATCCCAGCTTTGTGTGTCTCACAGGGTTGGCCTTGTGATAGAGGAAAGAGCACTTGGTAAGTAAGTAAGTATATAAACTTGGAGTGTGAAGGCCTACACTGAGAAAGGTTTTATCAACTAAAGGCCTGATATTTACAAAGCAAGATAAAAATAAGATTTCTACAAATGTGAATGAGTTTTATGGCTCATTCAGTTAAGTTCTAAACAGAGTAGCTTATCTGTTCTCTTCCCTTGTTGTTGTTTTTTTTTTCTTACCTTTTCTTTTGCACCTGAGAAGAGATTTTATATGAGGGAGTGGGGGGTAAATTCTTGCTAGCCTGACTCACTTCCCAAAGAGTAGATGACTGAATGTATTCTTTTATTGTTATTTGGAATCACTTCTTTGTTATGCCAAGAACTTTTCAGCAACTCTTCATATGTAGTGTATGCATGTCATTTAGTGGCACGCACCCACATAAAATTAAAAATGCTTTTATATATAATATATATATATATATATATATATATATATATATATATATATATATATATATATAAGAGAGAGAGAGAGTTATATCAACTTAAAACTACTCTTCAAAAGCTTGTATAAAAATATATAAATTTTGAAACTATTTTCTTTTTATGCTTGGAAATGTGATCTGAGGAACCAGGAACAATCACTTTCCTGGGGGAAATAAAATATAATCAATGGGCCCTTAAGATTGTCTGTTTTTTAATCACACACACACACACACACACACACACACACACACACACACACACACACACAAACAAACATTAAATGCATTAGTTGCCCACTGTAGTAAGACTGACCACAATTTTGATATAAAAAAAATAAAAATGCTACTCTAATTAAGGGAAAACAATTCACTGAGTTGAAAATGTTTAGAAAGTGATTTAATTGCTAGATCATCGACACAAAATTTGCATCCAGGTTCTGGTACCACTCTGGTAAGGTCTTCTATTATCACAGTGAGATAATAAAAGATATTAGATAAACACAGAGTGACTGAGAGAACTCGATGCACTTTGCTGAAGAGTCTTGCATTATTAGCAGTAATAGTCCCTGTTTACAAACTCACACTCCTCTCAAGAGAGCTCAACCAAAATAAATTTTTCAGGGGCATATATATTGTCATCCACAGTGTTTCACTGTATCACAGCTCATCAATGTGGCTGGATGTCTGGTTGCCTCTAGCTAGAATTGAAACCTGGCTGATTTGGTGTCAGTTGGAGATTCTACCTACTAATATATATATATATATATATATAGATTATTTTGCCAAAAACAAAAATGGTCAACTAGTGTATTTTGGAAATGTTTTGTTTCTTTTAAGTCACAGTTTTTACAATCACAGTGCTTGATATCTATTTGACAGTGTTAAATGTAGTAATATAATATACAATCAAATCCCCTGAAGAGTATATGTATTCTCTCCCAGACTCAGCGTAGTCAAAATAAGTGAACATTTAATTATTTCTCTCTCCCTCAGTTATATAAATCTTGTAATTATATAAATCTAATGTGAGGGTTAAAGTGATGCAAGCCTATCTGAAGGGACATGAGAGGTGGGGAAACTGTCACCAACAATCACTGACACTGGAGACCTGATTTACACAGAGTTGGAGCAAGGAAAGGAGAAATGAAGCCTAGATGTAAGGACGTGGGTGCGCTTGATGCTAAGAAAACAACATAGCAACATCGATGGAGAGTGTCTTCACATGCATTCGTTGTAATCAAGACTTTTATTCCTGTGCAGGCCTGTACAGCCATAATAGATGCTGTGCTGCCATTTGCAGCTGAGATATAACTCTTTGGCCACAGATCCAAGGTCTCTCAAGATCAACACATGTTTTGAAGACACTGCAACATGGAATTACTACAACTCTGAGACATGACAGCATAGAATACAAATACAAAAATCTAGTAACACCTAACTCCTTGGAAATGGCTAGTTATCCAAAGACAGTTGGGGTAATAATCACCATGGACAGATTCTATTGTAGTTTCCTTTTTCACTTAATTCAAAGTTTCTGCGGTTGGTGAACCTGCTAAATTTTACTGGTTTCTTCTGAATACAGATGGTAGGACCCAAGGAAGAACTAAAGCCTGTCCTTCAGCTTCTGTTGTTGTTTGATCACATACATTAATAGGGTCAATGTGTGTACCTGTTTGATCACATACATTAATAGGGTCAATGTGTGTACCTGTTTGATCACATACATTAATAGGGTCAATGTGTGTACCTGTTTGATCACATACATTTATAGGGTCAATGTGTGTACCTGTTTGATCACATACATTTATAGGGTCAATGTGTGTACCTGTTTGATCACATACATTTATAGGGTCAATGTGTGTACCTGTTTGATCACATACATTTATAGGGTCAATGTGTGTACCTGTTTGATCACATACATTTATAGGGTCAATGTGTGTACCTGTTTGATCACATACATTTATAGGGTCAATGTGTGTACCTGTTTGATCACATACATTTATAGGGTCAATGTGTGTACCTGTTTGATCACATACATTTATAGGGTCAATGTGTGTACTTTTTTTTTTTTTTTTGTCCCAATATGACAGAACTCGCATGAAACTTATGGTAAACAGGATAAATAAGTCACCGGACTTATTCAACCTATACAGTGAGGCAATTCTGAGAGAATTAGAAGTCCTACCAGGATTCATTGTTGGCGGCCACAATCTTAGCAACATAAGATTTGTAGATGACATGATGCTGATATCATACATAGAAAGGAAACTACAAGAACTCCCACAGAAAGAAAGTGAGAAGAAAGGATTAAACATTAATTGCAAGAAGATGGAATGCATGGCTATTATCAATAGGAAGAGTTCAACATGCAAATTACAAATTGAAGATACTAAACAAGTACAACAATTTAAATATCTGAAAAGTGTTTTACCAGAGGATGGAAAGTATGACACTGAAATCTGAAGATGCATTGAGATAGCAAAAGCTGCCTTCCAAAAGCTAAGCAAAGTATTAAGAAACTGAAAATTTTGTTAGAAACAAAGAGTACAGAACTGATATGTAATATCAGTCCTCCTATATATCAGTGAATGTGGACAATCTCTTCAAAGATGAAGAGACTTGAATCAACAGAAATTTGGTTCTATAGGAGGATGGTGACAATACTATGGACTGAACATGTAAGCAACAATGAAGTTTTAACCAAAATGGAAATGAAAGGTCATTTATACATAGCACCAAAAAGAGACGGTTGAAATTTCTAGGGCACATGATGAGAAAAGAGGGCTTAGAAAATTTTGACAATACATTTTAGAAAAATTACCAACAATACGTCTTATCCGTAGTTGAAGGCATAAGATTGCATTCAAAATATTTAGAATTCGGCGTTAAATAACTCATAGATTGATATGCTGCTAAACAAAATGAACCAAACCATTTTATCAAAGATGGAAAGTGAGAATACAGCAGCTCTAAACCTGATCTGGTTGGAATAACCAGTTTTGGTCTAATTTGATTCTTGGATGATGGAAAGTAAAATGCTTTTCCTTTCTTTTGCTTGTCGCCACTTGCCAGATGAACAGAAACCTTTCTCTGGTAATTAATCTTCATTGGAATGGAACTAATTTAATGCTACTTTGGTTGTTTTTTTGTTTTTTTTGTTTTTTCTTTACTTTCTCCAACTGAAAGCCACTTTGAAAAGTGAACATTTTCCTGGCCGCCTTCTACAATTAAGCAATCGAGTTGATTACAAACCGACTTTAATTTCTGTTCAGTTCGACTTAATCAAAATCAGTCCATGAGTTTATCTCTAAGTGAACTCCTAATTTGGCGACAAATCTTCTACTACAAAATCATTAATTAAATGAACAAATGTTCAAAGAGTTTGAGGAACTTAAGGTGTGAAAATATTATTCCTCAAAGAAAGTGGGGGGGGGGCAGAAAAATGATAGAAAATGAGGGTTTATTTTCTGATATTACAAAGATGAGTGAAATGTCATTTGATACATGGCGTAGGAAAAAAAATAGCTGTTTAACTTGGCTATCACAATACACAGGATGTCATTTACTTTTTACTCTATAAAGAATCTTAAAGTGCCTAAATACATTCTTTATTCATGCAATATCTGACTGATTCTAAATATGTGACGTCAGATCGGCTCTAAATATATTAAAGATCAACCATGAAATATTTTGAATGCCATACGTCATTTACCAGTAACTTCAAATCTCATTTCCACTTCAGTATTGGGTTTTAGATTTAACATTTGTTTAAATATTTATTGTCTCCATCTTAGTTTGGGACAAGACAAGAAATATGACCCCCACCCCAGTGTCGATTAAATTCACAACATTAGGAATGGTTTGAGACAACCTTTTAACCATGGTTAATCTCCTTAATAGATAGCATATTTCTTCTCATTGGGGACACTCCAGCTTCAAGAAGACAAGCCAATTTGGACTTGTAAAATCTAAAAATAAATATAAGTAAAATGCAAAAAAAAAAAAAAGAGAAAAGTAACTCATGGCTTGTATTATAAGCATTTGTGAACTTTTTTTTTTAAATCATTTTGCCTTAAGCTTCTACTCCAATAGCTTCATATCCCGCACCTCTCACCTGTGGAACTCCCTCCCCATTTCTTGTTTCCCTAATAGCTATAATCTCCAACTATTCAAATGTAATGTCAATTGATGTCTCCAGATGCATTGATCTATCCTTTATCCTTCTCTTCATCCTTTCCTCTATCACTCCTATTTGCTCTAGCTACAACTCTCTGTAACTCCTTGTGTGCTAGTGGCTTCCTGCCTTGCTTGCAGTGAAAAACTTAGAAAAAAAAAAAAAGCAAGGCGATAATGCCACTAAGATGCAAGGGGTTGAGAATGGAAGAGAATGAGAAAACTTTAGTGAGGAGGAAGGTCAATAAAAGAATAGTGTTCAGGAAGACAGAAGATGGTGTTTGACATTGCATTTAATTTTTTGAAGATCATAGATGGCAGGGAAGCAAGAAATTGGACGAGAGTTCCACAGTTGAGAAGTGCGAGAAAAGAAACTATTAGAATAGCACTTATGGTTACATCAAGTTACTTCAGCAATTGCTGGCAAATAATACATTTACTAAGTTTAATCTTGTACAAGAGTACAAACATAGGTCATCTACTGAAGATCCAATTTACTACAGCAGTGTGTGTGATGTGCGGGTGGTGCAATGTCTATTGGCATGGAAAATGAAAATGGCTGACTAAATTCAAATTCCCACCATTGATGTTGTACTTGCTTCACACTAATACCCTAAAGAAAAGGCATGAATCCATTTTTTTCTCTTCCAACATATGTGTAAATAGTAGGGTAGACTAGGTTCTTTCACCTTTATAAGGGGATCAGTTCTAAGAAGAGTAACTGGATTCAATCCCTCATATATGGACATGATTTTGATGTGTATATTTGAACTATTTGGGTGATCTGTAACGGATTTGAAATTTTTGTTTTTCAAGAAATTTACTTTGGATAATTGCTTATGCTTATTTCACCCTAATGGCTTCTATTGGTGCAAAAGATGATGGGAATAAGAGGAAGGAGACAACTTTGGAATTATCGCAGAAAATGGAAATTTTAAACTGACTAGATGCTGGTGAAAGTTCAGTGTAACTAATGGCTGATTTCAACATAGGAAAGTCAACATTGTATGATTATAAAATCTTCCAAAGAAACTATTCTCCTGTGTTCACTCTGTCACAATGAACAAGGAAATAAGAAACATGATTGTGATGAAACCTTGACTGAAATTGAAAAAGCTATTGAAGAAAGTTGTCAGTTTTATGGAAAGAAAACCAGCATTCAGCTCTGACGATTTCAATAACGCACACATAGTTAAAAAGTGTCTTCTGTTCTATAAGATTTCCAGAACAAAAGCAAAATGAAATGCAGAAAAAGTTGAGAATGACATTAGAAGAGAAAGAATCATCATGCAAGAGCAATTAAAAAATCCTCATTACATTATTTGTTTGGCATACGCGGCATACTTAATGTAATGAATTTTCATTAACATTACGTTTTTTTTTTTTTTTTTTTCCTTAAAATCAATTGTTATATTTCACTCACCATTTAGCTTCTTTTTTTTTTTTTTTTTTTTTTTTTTTTTGCTATAAAACTTTGAAAGTAAATGTTAAACCTGATTTCAGTTCTTTTATTTTAATCTAAATATAACCCCTTATATCAAGACTTTGTAACCAATTCCTCATATCCAGAAGGCCTTCTTAATCTGGTTGTCAGGGATTTTACTGTATTAAAAAAAAACAATGGTATGCAAGATTGACTTTCTCTGTCTCAAGACATTTTTATGTGTAGGTCCATATATAATTATTACTGTTTAAAAATCTTATGACTAGAGCCTGCAGAAAAATGTTATTAGTAATTGGCTTGTATAATCTTTCTCGCTGAACATAGTATTGAAAACAGAATAAAACATTACTCTAAAATTAACTAGAGATTTAAAGCTCGCTCCAAGGATCACCAATAAGTTATTGACTAACCATAGCTTAGTTTAGCACAAGGCCAGAAAAGAATTCCTGGCACTACTTTGGTTAACTGGTCCATGCAAAAGTAAATAAAAATAAGAAAAGGAAAAAATATTTTGGGAATAATTTTTGTAGATTAGAATTTATTAGACTTTTTTTTTTTTTTTTTTTTACCCATGTATCAGAATCTAAAAAAAAATAGATTTTTTATTATCATTTTAGAAAAGGAATATTTTTCATAAAAAAAATATACATTGTCTAATAGATCCCTACCTTCATATATTTATGTGTACTTTATTTTTATTTGCAAATGTCAAGATTGAAACTGTGCTTACATCATTAATAACTGAAATATTGATGTTATTCTTTTACCCAATTTGTAATAATATTAAGGAAGATAGGAACCATTTATAGAAAACAGTGTCTACATAATCTTTAATCGATAACAGAAGACTTTTCATCCTACATGTCGTATAATATATATATATATATATATATATATATATATATTGTCATCTACACACAGACTGTTTTACAGCTCATCAGTGTGGCTAGACATCCGGTTGCCTCTAGCTAGGATCGAAACCCGAATGAACTGGCGTCAGTCGGGGATTCTACCACTAAGCCATTGGTGCATGGCAGGGATGAAGGTGAATTTAAGTGTATTTATTTTTAGATAAACCCACAGTGACTGAGAGAACTTGATTCAATTTACTGAAGAGTCTTGCATTATTAGCTGTAATAGTCACTGTTTACAAACCCACACTTCCTCCCCAGAGAGCTCAACTGAAATAAATTTTTCAGGAGCACACACACACACATATATATATATATATATATATATATATATATATATGTGCGATAGAATTTTTAGGAATTATAATAACATTTAAAGGTTAAGCAAAACTGACCTTTTAAGAAAGTTTTGGAGTAAATGAAACCTGTAGGTCATTGTGAGGACTTATTTTTAGGCTAATTTTATGGAATATTCTGGGGGTTTTCAAAAGTTTTTGAAAATATAAATGTATTCCATTTCTTTAATTTATTTCTAGTTTAAATAATTTTGTTTTCTTTGCTTACCTTTTAAACATTATTTCTTTAGTGGATACACATATTAAAATACACACTCTGTTTATTTTTCTTTAAACAGAATCTTATTTTATCTACCAGCCTGAATATTTGAGAAATTTTATTAAAGGAAAATATGCCTCTATATGTCTATATCTCTCTCTCTCTCTCTCTATATATATATATATATATATATATATAAAATATCTGTTGTATGAATATGAGTTTGCAACCCTGGGTTTCACGCTTTGGCAATCATCAGACAAACTGGTTTATTTTTTAAAATTGGATCTATTTATGCTTGTTTGACTATGTTTGGTAGTTGAATATACTTCTGTTTGTTTTGGGGTAAAAGCCAGTTTGTCTGATCGCAAAAGCATGAAACCCAGGATCACAAATTCATATCCGTACAACTTATTATGTTAGTTTATCACTTCAAGTACCATATATATATATATATATATATATATATATATATATATATATATATATATATATATATATATATATATAAACAGATATAGGTATCAACACTGCATGAAACTGGCAGTTATGCAGTGTTGTTTCCATGACTATACTGTCTAGCTAAATTAATTAACATTAAGCACTTCCCCTACAAACATAGCAATATTTAAACTGAACACACACACACACACACACACATGCACTACAGTTCAAAAGTTCTATTTAACCCATAGTTGGGGAAGAGATAGATTCATACCTTTCCCAAGAGAATTGCTACATTGATTTATCCCTAGTCATAGTGGAATGAAAACAGTTTACTCCCATAGGTTAAATATAGGGTTCAGTTTTAAATTCCTATAAGGTGATATGGATTGACAAGCACCTGATGAAGGTCAGAGGGTATAAATAACTCCTCATACCAGGAAGTCAGATGGAAATTTCAAACCATTTCTTGCTTTTTTAATAACCAATTAACATTAAGTTCAGGAGCTTCATTTTTTTTCTTTGCTAGGTGTGTCAGCAAATTTCATGATGACAAATGTGTTAATTTTCAACTTCCTGTCTTTCTCTCTTTTTCCTTCTTTCTCTCTCTCTTTTTCCTTCTTTCTCTCTCTCTCTCTTTTTCCTTCTTTCTCTCTCTCTCTCTTTTTCCTTCTCTCTCTCTCTCTCTCTTTTTCCTTCTCTCTCTCTCTCTCTCTTTTTCTCTTTTCTCTCTCTCTTTTCCTTCTTTCTCTCTCTCTCTTTATCCTTCTTTCTCTCTCTCTCTTTATCCTTCTTTCTCTCTCTCTCTTTATCCTTCTTTCTCTCTCTCTCTTTATCCTTCTTTCTCTCTCTCTCTTTATCCTTCTTTCTCTCTCTCTCTTTTTTCCTTTCTCTCTCTCTCTCTTTTTCCTTCTTTCTCTCTCTCTCTTTTTCCTTCTTTCTCTCTCTCTCTCTTTTTCCTTCTTTCTCTCTCTCTCTCTTTTTCCTTCTTTCTCTCTCTCTCTCTTTTTCCTTCTTTCTCTCTCTCTCTCTTTTTTCTTTCTCTCTCTCTCTCTCTTTTCCTTCTTTCTCTCTCTCTTTTTTCTCTTCTTTTCCTCTCTCTCTCTTTTTCCTTTCTCTCTCTCTTTTTTCTTCTTTCTCTCTCTTTTTTCCTTCTTTCTCTTTTCCTTCTCTCTCTCTTTCCTTCCTTCTTTCTCTCTCTTTCCTTCCTTTTTTCTCTCTTTCCTTCCTTCCTTTCTCTCTCTTTTCCCTTCTTTCCTTCCTTCTTTTCTCTCTTTCCTTCCTTCCTTTTTCTCTCTTCCTTCCTTTTTCTCTCTTTCCTTCCTTCCCTCTCTTTCTTCTCTCTCTCTTTCCTTCCTTTCTTCTCTCTCTCCTTTTCCTTCTTTCCTTCCTTCCTTTTACTCTCTCTTTCCTCCTTTCTCTTTCCTTCCTTCCTTTTCTCTCTTTCCTTCCTTCCTTTTACTCTCTTTCCTTCCTTCCCTTCTTTCCTTCCTTCCTTTTACTCTCTTTCCTTCCTTCCTTTTACTCTCTTTCCTTCCTTCCTTTTACTCTCTTTCCTTCCTTCCTCTTTCCTTTTCCTTCTTTCCTTCCTTTTTTTACTCTCTTTCCTTCCTTCTCTTTCCTTCCTTCCTTTTACTCTCTTTCCTTCCTTCCTTCCTTCCTTTTACTCTCTTTCCTTCCTTCCTTTTACTCTCTTTCCTTCCTTCCTTTTACTCTCTTTCCTTCCTTCCTTTTACTCTCTTTCCTTCCTTCCTTTTACTCTCTTTCCTTCCTTCCTTTTACTCTCTTTCCTTCCTTCCTTTTACTCTCTTTCCTTCCTTCCTTCTTCCTTCCTTTTCTCTTTCCTTTCCTTCCTTCCTTTTACTCTCTTTCCTTCCTTCCTTTTCCTTCCTTCCTTCCTTTTTCTTCTTCTTTCTTCCTTCCTTCCTTTTACTCTCTTTCTCTTTTTTTTTTTATCCCTCTCCCCCACTCCAAGGAGTGTCTTTGTTTTATCACTTAACAGAGAAAAGAAAAAACTACAACCACAGCAAGGCCCCTGATCAGGAGATTGGATGTTTTGAGAAGAAAAAATAACATGAATCATTGAAGCTTATATTAACTTTTGCTTAGTTTGATGGCATCTCAACACATCTCGACTTATTTAATGTTGAATATAACTTTTAAAGGACAAAAATCACAGTGAATCAATAAATAATTAAACGCAAATCTGGTTTGCATTTGTAAGTGCATTCACTACCATATAGAAAAACAATATCCTCAAAGATGAAGACTTGAAGCAATAGACATGTGGGCAACAATAAGGTTTTAGAGATAATGGAAACAAAAAAGACTAAAACTTAACATCAGGAAGAAGCAGTTGAAATTTCTGGGGCACATGATGAGGAAGGAAAGCTTGGAAAATCTGATACTCACAGGAGAGATTGAGGGACAGAGGAAAACAATGCATAACATAATGAGCTTGGGTAAATGGATAGCAGAGCAAGATTTAGGAGAAATAACATAAACAAAATTTATTATGAGCTACAAAGACCCAAAATTGTGGCAAGCCATGATTGCTGTGGTAGCATACCTACAGACAATAATGACTATATCCCCATTCACATAAATACAGTAGTAAATACTGTATGTTGGTCTGCAGTTGGAGATTCCTTGTGGAATCCACTTGACTCACTTCTAGCAGTTGACTACTTTTTCTACGCACTGCTGGCGAATCTTATGTGTGTTGTTCTTGTCCTAAGTATTATCGTTCATTACCAAACTTCGTGTGATTATTCTACTTAGTAACCTTCCCAAGGTTACAACACATCTATCTATCTATCTATCATTTAATTTTATGGATTGGAAGAAGAGTAGATAGATAGATATATATGAAGGGACTGAGATGCCTTGATCAATATCCCCACCCTTCTCTTTATCGTTTTCCCCTAACACCCCCTTTTTACACTTGCTCTCACTCTCTGTAACCCCTTGCGTTATTTCCACCTTGCTTGGGGTGGTATGTTTCGAAAAATCAATCTCTTTGGGTTAATTAATGCCGAAATCTAAATATTGTCAACCTAATTTTAAAGGTTCAACTAAATATATATTTGAACGCAATTGTATCCCTTTAACTATAGATAAAATATATTATTGGTCATTTTACTATAAATTGGTCAATTCTACTATAAATATGTATTATATTTTTTACATTTTTGATTTTCTATATCCTCCTCCAAGAGTTTACCTGTTTATTTTTTCTACGTGTGATTTTTTTTTTTTGTCATCATCCAACTTTATTTTTCTTTGTTTATTTATTACATGTTACTTCGTTCTTTGTTTTTTTCCTTTTAAATATCCGTTGATTCTTCTATGTTTTATTTGTTTAATTCTTCTGTTTTCGTATTTGTTCAAATGTTTTGTGTTTATTTAGTCTAATCTGCCTGTTTTTTTAATTTTATTTTCATATTTCATTTATCAGTGAACTTTTTTTTTTTATGGCAGACATATTGAATTTTTCTTTAGTTTATATGTATTGTTTGTTTCGTATTTGTGTTTGTAGATTGTCTTTTTTTACTTTTATATTTAGTTTAAAAAAAGGTTTATTGTTGTTTAAAGTGTTTTCTTTATAGTTTACCTTATTTTGTGTATTTTTTCCGATCTTTGTTTGTAGAATGGTTGTTTTTGGTATTTTTTGTTAAAGATTTTGGCAAAGATCTTAGCCAACTGTTTGCAGCTTGTCCTGTTTAGTCTGATTGGCTCCGAACAGTCTTGTGCTGTGAAGGGCAACCTTCAAATGTCATTAGTAAAGCTCTTGTTCTCTTTCTTGTGGAGAGATCTGTTGCCTTAATCCATTTGAAGGTGGTCTGGGTATGCCTAGCATTGAGATTCATCAATATATGCTTTGCATTGCCTCCTTAGATTGAATGCATCCCGAATCAGATGAGGAGGGTGCCTTCTGGAAGGAAGACACCTGTAAGAACTTCCCATCCCTGAGAAGTGTGCACTCGAGGGAGTAGGAGGCCCACTGTATGCCTTGAGCTGGATGCTCCTTCTATCGCGAATGTCGTCGTGCTCTGAAACGCCTCTTATGGGCATCAGATGTCCAAGTGTTGTCTCGTAGAGCATTATATCAAGTAATAGTCAGGGGATCCATTCGTGATGATCTGATTGACGATCTCGGTTTTACAAAGCAGGAGGCTCGCTCAATATGGCTATGGGTATCCAAACTGAAATACCTCAATAAATAATGAGGCATTACTCACCTGGCTGGTGATTCATGAAGCCCTCTGGGTCACCAAAAGACTTTGTTCAGCGGGCTTGGAGAAATCTCCAAACTGCTGATGCTGTAGAGAGGAAGTAGAGACTTTGGGTCACGCCTTCTTTCCTTGCAGGGTGGTAACACAGTTGTGCAAGTTTGTCAAAGGCCTCGTGGTTCATATACTGTGTGGAAAGTTCTTTTGTCATTGAGGCCATTTCTGTTAGTAGCAATGTGGTGCCACCGATGATGAAGGCTGAACAATGTGTTCTTTTGCTTACTAGGTGTTATGAGAGTCGTGATTTGGACAACACATCAGAAGGAATTCTATGAAGGTGAAAAGTTCACTTCTTTCCAACTGATCTTGTTCTTTAAGCATCAGCTTAAAGTCAGAAATGTGGTGGCTCACTTCATCAGAATTTGGCAAAAGTTGGGTGAATCTTGCACGTTTGTGTTGAGTAAAAGGGACTGACCTAGAGTGGCATTTTGATGCTGGTTAGGCATCAGGATATTGTTCCTCCTGGGTTGAATTTTGGCCTTGTGCCACATTTTGTATTTTATTACAAATAAATATTACAGTTAGAGATTCGTCTTCAGCTGGGCTGGTTAAGCTCCCTACCTCTGGGCAGAGAGCATCCCCAGATGGGGATATGTTGAAGGGCAGAGTCTCGTCTCAGGAAACACCTACCCAATCCCAGTTTATATGGGGTCTATGGGGAATCTTTAGCCGAGCATACGGGTTCAGATACCCACATTAAATTTGGCCTTGTGCCACATCTGACCACATGGGGCAGTTGGTAAGTATCCTGCAGTTGGAGATTCATTGTGGAATTCACTTGACTCACTCCTAGCAGTTGACAACTTCTTCTATGCACTGCTAACAAATCTTATATGTGTTGTTCTTGTCCTAAGTATTATTGTTCATTACCAACCTTCATGTGATTATTCTATTCAGTAACAACAATTGCTTATATCACGAAGGGGCATAGCATATAAAGATGTGTTTAAGTTAATTCCGACTTAAGAAAAATGGTTTGCAGTTTGTTTCACCTATATATTCTCTGAGACATCTGCGAGGAATCTAGTATACACCATTCTTGATCATATTCTCCCGTGTTAGGCTTTACTTGGCAGAGATTTCTCTATAGACTGTAACTGCTTTTGAATGTTGTCCGGATGTTGTATACACTGTATATCAATATAGTGTAAATAATGATGACTGTGAAATTCAGAATGTAATAATTTCTTGTCTTTCAAATTCTAGCAAAAAGGATATTAGAAAGCATTTCCAAAGTGTAAACTAGGAAGCTATTTAACCACTCCTTGCACATGCTAATTGCTGAATACATGGGGGGGGGGGAAAAAAGGTTAATTTTCCCAGTTGTTGTAATGAAATTCTGTATCTCAATGAAAAAAAGGAAATTGTATAATTAAATCTCTTTTTAAAGTTCCTTTTTTTAGTATTATAATGTTGCAATGGTTTACTTGGTGCAAATGAGATGAACTTTCACCTTGAAATTAAAAAAAAAAAAAAATTCAAAAAACTTCCAACCAGGTTTTTCTTTTTTTTTTTTTTCTTTATTTTTTTTATAATCTTATTTCAATCTTCTATCATTTCCACAACCTCAGGCAACATAAAAAATGATTCCTTTTTCTACAAGGAATGCTAAAATATTCTTGACCTGACATGTTTCCCTTTCCAAAATCTGACAAAATTACCATTTAAAAACAAAAAAAAATCAGTATTCCGCCCCCCCCCAATAATACCAAGTTTCTGCACTGAGAACCAAGACAGCCATGTCCTGAAGCAACATGGGATTTAAGAAAAAAAAAAGTACAAATGACTTATCTACCTAAATTATATATATGTATTATTTATTATATATATATATATATATATATATATATAATATATATTTATTTAAAATATATATATATATATATATATATATATATATATATATATATATATATATATATATTATTATATGTGTGCGTTTGTTCAAAATTTGTATGAATAATATATAAAATAAGAACTTATTTTACAGTTACTTTGCACTAACATCTTCCATATTTTTGCTTGTTGTAGGGAAGGAATTAAACATTGAATTACTATTTTTTTATTTTTTTTTTTTTTGTGAGTGAATATTTCATTAAAAATATTGTGAGAATGACAATGATATTTTTATTTTTTTTTTTGTTTAAAATATAAATCTTGCCATACTATTTAACCCATAGCTGAGGGTAGATGGATTCATACCTTTTTTTTCAAGAGTATTTGTATATAAATGAATGTAATGAACCCAACTCTGAATTGAAATTTGATCAGAGCTATCAGATTTTTCATTCTGAACCCCTATCCATTACATTGACTGTGCGTCTATGCTATACAAAATAAAGACTTGCATATGTGTATGTGTGTGTTTTTTTTTTTTTCTTTTAATAATAAAATTGTTTCTAAATAATACCTGATCATAAATGGTGTTAATAATTTGGCACTGGTGTTAACAACTTAGTGACTTTAGAGTTCAAAGTAGATTTTGTCATCACCTATCCATGGGTAGCATTTAGAAATCCTTGGGATAGTGTAACAATAATCACATCGATGCTGATGATAACTGATATCATCATCATCATCATCATCATGACTTGAATATCCCAAGTTCTGTTATTTTGTACTTGATTAACCCAATCATATGATCACCTCTCATCTGTAACTATTTTCTCTGTCCAGACTTGAATTGGTCTCCTCGATTTAGGCTTTTTACGCTTGTAATTTTTTAAACTTGATGTATCTATTGGAAGTCAGGGTTGGGGAGAAATTACCAAGTTGTTCTTTTGTAGAACAAGAAATGGTACATTGTCAGTAATAACTGCAGTTAGATATATGCACCCGCACACTGTCTAGATGTGCATATGTAATTTAGGGTGGAAATAATCTGCATTATCTATCGTTAGGTGCTGTTTTAACTTGGGATTAACTCCCCCTATGGTCAAGTGACTGATTTATCTTTTGATTAGGAGATAAAAAGTTATATCTCCAGTTTTAGATGGTCTTATAATTTTTTATTTTTGTTTTTTGTTTTTTATGCTTTTGCTCTCTTCTCCTTCATATGCACAGGTTTCCTTCACTATTCAAAAGTAGACCATTCCGATGAAAATATTCATACAAAGAAAAAAAAAAAAATGATTTAGAAAAAAAAAAAAAATGATTTAGAAAAAAAAAAATTTTCGAGTGTTCCCAGACCCTCAAAATAACCTTGTGTAAGGTTTCACCTAATCAGAAGAACTGCTGAAGGTCATTTTCCAGAACTCTTTCTTGGGTTTGATTGTAAAAATAATGGTCTATATGGTTAACAGATTTCCTCACAGTATTGGGACACTCACTACACACACAAAATTGGATTTCTTCATGGAAAAATTTAATAAACAGCAACTCAACAATTAGTTAAAAAATATCAGTAAATTGTCCCTACTTAGTTGGCTACTACAATCCAAGAGAGTATTGCAGCACACCTGTATAAATTAGCAGGCCTGCTTATTGTGACTTGTTCATTACAAACACTTAATCTTTATTTAATTTGGTACCTGCACT